CATAAAAAAAGCTATGCATTTTGGTTTGTAGTTTGTTTAACTGCTGCTTGAACTGTTTCTGCTTCTGTTGCTGTCGCCGTCAAGTGCCGTTTGACGAATAAACTCAAAGTTTGACTATCATTTGCTGTATGCTTACGATCTTAAATACAGTACGGTATATTAGGTCTATTTCTGGGAACAAACCATAAAGTGGCAAGAACAAATAATTTTTATTTCATTTCTCTCTGTTTGTGTGTCTGTCTGTCTCACAATCAACATTTGTCGCATTCAGCAAGCAGCAGCGCATGATAAAACAATGACAACCGTGGTCGCGATCATCATAAACGCTCAAATAAAGATCAAATGAGTAGCTTAGTTAGCACAGACCGGCAACAATAATATGAAATTGAATGTCAGGATTTTGGACCGGGAAGGGGAACAATTTATATGCGTAAGACTGAAATATATGAATGTCCGAGAATGAATGTGAGACTTCTCGTGAGAGTTTATTGAAATGTAACACCGCCATACAAAAATTGTTGACAGTCAGCAACATTTCAATAAACTCTCAGGAGAAGTCTCACATTCATTCTCGGACAATCATATACGCATTGGATAAATTTTAAATACGTTAAATGCACATTATTGCATATATGGAAATGACACTCATACATATTGAAATTTTTGTAAATGTCCTTGCAATTGTTCCCCGTGGATTCGGGCAATTATTAATTTAAATCTAATTTGTCTAAAGTAGGCTGGAGAGATCGCGGGTACATTCGCAAGGAAATGAAAACAAACATGCGAACCTATGGACACACACGGCATTCAAACGAATAAATAAATCAGCTGTCAACAACCTTGTATTCGATTTGACTTCACAGAAAAGCAAAAATAAAAAAAGAAACAATTCGCCATTTTCTGTATCTTTTTAACGAGTTTTTTCGTCAGCGAGTTTCAAACAGATTATGAAATATTGACAATATGCTCATTTTTTATCCATTTGTATAGATCGATTTATCAAAGCCAAGCTACTCTGTGATAATGCAATTCAATCAAGGCTTTTAAACCATGACTAAAGAGCAACCGATAAGAAGGCATAGACAAAAACAAAAAAAAATCGAAAGAGTTTGGAATTGTCGACAACAGATACAACGTGTATCAAGTCGTGTGCACGTTTCTTTGTTTGTTCTTTTTTATGTGATGCCTCATTCATTCGCAACCACACCCTCCCCCCCCCCCCACCTGCACTGTATGCATGTGTAAGTGTATATGGACATCAAACTAGATGCCTGAACAATATTTTCAGATACACTAGCTATATACTCATTTCCTTACGAATATTACCACGCATTTTGGTGAACTATTATCATCATTCACGTTTCTCTTGACAAAGTGAAAACGTTCGCTTTTGTCTTTGTATCCTGAATGGAGTCATGAACTCATTGTTTAACATAGAATGTAAGCATAGTGCTCATATTACAGCTGATATGGCACTTTAGGCGAACAATTGAGATAAAAACTTAGCCGATGCAAAACCAATCAGCGTTCTCTCTCTTTCTCTGTCTCTCGCTACTTACTCTCGTTCTCATTCTCACTGTGACTAAGTTACATATAAACATATGGTGGTAAATACATTTCAGTTAAATGTGATGAATAGATAGCAAACGCATTGTTTCAAATAGTACTTGATGGTTAAAGGAATACATCCGCAGCCCGACAAACATGATTTGACCATTTAGTGAAACTCTGTGTGCATAATTCCCGTTTCTATAATATACATATAAGTGTGTGTCTGTGTATGTGCGCGAGTGTGTGGCTTTACCAACTTATATCAAAGTTTATCAGCAGCTAATGCTCATTCACAGTTCACTTAAGTTGCTCTCTTGAGCTTCTCGGATTAATCATTGGTGCATTGATGGTTTCTCTAGCTGTATGCAGTCTATGTATTTCGGATGGATATCCATCCGAGATATTTTAGAATATCTGGATATTTAACGCAACTGCACAGAGCCAGAGCTGTGTGCGTCGCACATATAATCTACGGTATGTCGCTACACGTAAAATACAGACACAGTGTGACTGTGTACGTGCGGCACTTGATACACATATACATCGCGACATACCGTAGACTCTATTTGCGACGCATACAGCTCTGTCGCTGTGCAGTTGCGTTGAATATCCAGATATTCTAAAATATCTCGGATGGCTATCCATCCGAAATACATAGACTGGCTGTATGTATAGCTTATATATGACAACCACATTTCTTTTTATTAGAAAATACCATATTGGTAAAAGAAGATTATGAATTACTTAACCGCGACCTAATGAAAATGGGTCAGTTTTCGATTCGGTCAAAAATCGAATAAATCGATCGTGGAAAAAATGCATAGAAAATTGCACACTATAACAACGAAAACAGCCACAATATCGATTTTAAAAGTGATGAATAGAGCAAGGAAAATAGAAAACACAAATATACAAAATGCTTATATCGATGAAATGTATGGTGTAGCTTGTTATCAAATGCGGGGGGAAGTAAAAACTCAGCAATATACACTGAGTGTCTAATATTTTTGGTAGACAAAATTTAGCATGGCACACTCCACTCACAAGCCATTCTTATATAAATCCTATGTCAATGGAGAGTTTCTCTGCTTACTTTGATTGTTATTTTGTTTATCAAAAAAATAAGATTCACTGTACATTTACTTCCCGTGTGGCAAAAATGTTACTAGTTTGAATTATTATTAAAATGATATTATGTACGATATGATTTAATCGATTATAGTTAACTGTTTGGTTGACGCATTTTGAGAACACATTGCATAGAGAACGACTAAAGTGAGTACATTGAATTCTCTACGGTTTTATATATTCAATTGGTCTTTTTATTTAACTATGTGGCTGTAGTCGAATAGAATATATGTAGGCTGTAGTCACTTAACGATGATTAAAAATAGCCAAAATTAACAAAATTCGATTAAAACAGATTTTGTGATAAAAATCAAATAGTATCGTATAGTGTGTGTGCGTGTTTTTAGCCACAAAGAACCAGACGGCCAAATCCAATGTCAAACGTTCATACTACAATGTTATTGTTATTGTATACAAATGACAATGTAAATATTTTGTCGCTGAGCATGTGGTTCTGTGTAGTCAGCATTAAAACATGAAGATCATTGAAAATACCGAATTTACTAAATTATTCATTCCGAATTTCCATCATTTGTAGTCAACTACGTAGATAAAATACAATCAATATACACAAAAAATAATTGACTTCAAATGATTTTTGCTGATTAAATTTTCAATAATTTGTTATTCGAAACTAATCGGCTAGTTAAATATGCTTACAGAGGGGATCATCATTTGGCTTAACGACAAATTTTCATCAACATAAAATGGTATACGACTTTGCTGATAACGATTGATATACGTATCACTTGGTTTATTTTCGGACTGAATTGAAGTGTATGTGGCGGCAATGAATAATTTAGTGTGGAATTGTATTTTTAACGGACACAAATTAAATCAAAAATGGTGTGGGCAAAAAAAAACCATTGATCCCGTACGACCAACTGTCATATTTCTCAGCAGATAAACATATTTGTTCTGTACAAATAGTTTTATTTGTCCAATTCCACACGGTTTTCCATAGTGCCAAAACGTTTTTGTTCCTCCAAAATATGCGTATATATGTAAATTTCATACGTATATCCATGTAGAACGGCGATACATTGCATAAAAAATATAATTCTACCTTTTACATATATATACACACACACAAATGGCAAAGCAGGAAAAAACAGATAGTAATTGTTGATAGTTTTGGATTCATCACATTGAAAGATGGTTGTGTGTCAAACAAAGTGTACATTTATAGCAACAAACGCACATGTTCACTTTTTGTCCACTGTCATTCTGTTATCAAATTCATAGCCGCATTCAGTGTTTGTTCGTGCTTATATTTCCTTCTGAACACAGTGTTGAGGTATTTTATCGAGAAGGCAGAGCATTTAAATTTTGTGGCTGTATAATATATATATATGCATAAGCTGTGCGCTGCGTGCTGTTGTGTGCAATACTGGTCATTTGAAAATGATTTTATGTATTAATGTGAATTTTTAAACATACAGTTGTGTGCTTGGCAACATTCAAATACATGCGAAATGCACAATGCTAAATATTGAAGCTCTTTCAGAAATCAGAGCGCGAACGACACAATACTTAGGACTATATACAAAAATGTGTTGTTGATTTTTTTTTTGCTTTGTATTATTGTTCTCTATATTTCTGTTCTTTTATTACTATTTATGCGGTCCTCGTTACCCCAAAGCGTTCGATACATAAATTTCTTTCTGTTTCGCAACTATTAAACTGGCTTCTGCTCTGGAAAGAGAAAGAGAGCGGGCGCACACACGAGACGTCGGTGCTATGAGTTGTAAACGATTTTGTCGCCTCGGTATATGCATGTATGCGCTGACTGTTGAAAACATTTCGATGGCTTTGCTTCATTTTTGTGTTTATGAATTCTTTGTTTCTTCTCATATACATTTTTTTTATTTCATTTCTTCTCGTTGTCGCCTTTGTCGTGCATATTTTGCTTCACTGTATAGTGGCAATCGAATAAATGAACAACGACAAAAACAAAAAAACGCGCTCACTCTCTCACCACCAACATTATGACGATCCAAAAACGACACCGTTCTGTATATATGTGTACTTATTTCGTTCTTTCTCGCTCCCTCGCCCATTCTATCTTTGCATTGTATCCGTATTTATTCCTTATTCGTTTACCATTCGTATTTGATTTACTCTCTTTCCCCTTCCCCCTTCATTTCATACAGTCTCAATTTTATGTGGCTCACTCCCCTCTCTCTCACTCTCTCTCTCTCTCTCTCTCTCTCTCTCTCTCTTACACAGATACTCTTTTTGTACTATAACTGTCTTAACATTCTTTCTCTACTTATTCTTCTCTCTCTCTCTTTTTTCATTTTTATTTATGTTTACTACAGCGAAGAAAATTCAGATGTGCTACACTTTGATTATAAACAGTACCGTCAGTCCATGGTTAACCTCGATAGTGGCAATAATTGTTATTATGTGGATAAAAATTTATTACAAATAACGAATACGAATAGTTGTGAAGTGATTGCCAGCAGCGGAGGCAGTGGCGGTGCCAACATTCATACTAGTTGCACGAATCGCAATTGTCGAAACAATCAATTCGGGGATAGTAATAAAGTGAAAAAAAATTTATCAGAAAGCTGTGTGATTGATGCAACCACCAAATCATCATCACCAACGGTAACTTCGTTAACTGTGCACAAACGTAAGTAACATTTGGAAACCTGAAAAAAATGTAAAATTCCGATCACGATATATATCAGTTTAACGAATATTTAAATCGATACGAATCAAGTTTTACTTGTTCATTTGAGATTCTAACAATATTAATGTGCTGCTTAAGTTCCGGGCAACAAGTGTGTGTGTGCGTGTGTTTGTGTGTATGCGTGTGCGCATGTTTTCACAACAAACACCGGATTATTATGTGTGGAATTTAAATGTTTCCATAAATTTTGCCAGATTTGACCACAAAGTGCAGAAAATGATCAAAAGTGCTGCATGTCAAACAGTTTTTGAATGAATGAATTTGTTTGGTGCGTGCGTGCGTGCGTGCGACGAACAAGTTTTTTTCTAACGATGTGTATGTAATTTGTTATCAAATTAAAATGTATCGTGTGAATCGGATCTGACGACAAACGGCATCAACAGAAAAAAAAACTATGCATATACGAAAAACCAACAGCAACAACATAACAAACCACTACTACAACTTTTTTTTTCGTCCCACAGAATATGGAATTGAAACACCGACCGGCGACTTGAAACATTTGAGTAACTTAAGTATTTCGAATTTGCGCACAACAAATCCAAACATTGCAACTACATCGACAACAACAAATCCACCGTACACTCATAATAAACCAGCAAACGATAATAATTACTGCTTGTATAAATACAATGAATTCAATGAATGCAATCATTTGGTGCAAAACAATAATAATAAACTGAGTGGTAAAAATAATGCGTTCTTCAAGAGTTTTGCGCGAAGCTCGTCATTTTGTCGCATCAAAGTGAATCCGAAAAAATTTCGAAATATTTCGTTTAAATTTCGAAAATCAGATAAAGTGTGTTGTACACCGGACTACACAGCAACAACTGCATCGGCTGCATCAACTCAAGTACGCGGTAAGTGTCAACAAACATCATCACATAATCCAAAAACTTGAAAAAAAAAATCATACTCGAATATCGATTCATCGAATCAGTTCAGTAACAAAAAAAGGACCACTGGCAAAAGAAACGTTTGCATGTATATTGTATATGCTTGGCACATAACAATTGCCAAGGTCAAAGTCAAAATCCACGCCAAGATGATGATCTTGTCCAATCGATCGTTCAAACGTAATTTTCTGTTACATTTAGTTGCCGTTGTTACATTTTTACATGAATGACCATAATATTTATTCGTTGTTATCAAAATGCAACAAATATAAAGTGAAACACGAATTCAAAATGATTTTTGTGTGATTTCCAGCTGGATATCTGTTGATCGAAAAGCCTTGGCAAACCGTTTTGTGCATCATAGCAATTTTCACAACAATTTTCTATGATCGACAATTAATCAATCTATATAAATCTATGTGCTGTATATTTGTAGCTCCAATTTGCTCGTCGACCTCATCTTCATCATCATCGACCTCATCTTCCACAACAAAAAAGAATCCGCTGCTAGGCAGCAACGCGGCAAGTGCATCACACGATAAATTCATTCAAACCGGTATTTTATACATTTCAACATCTTTTTACTAGTTTTCACAATTCAATTCGCTCCAAAATTGTTTGCTGAGTATTAATAATACGCATAGCCTCGTGCTCACTTTTCATTCGACGAACAATGTTTGAATGTTGCCAAATGGGAATCTGAGACGGATAGTCGATATCCCTTTGGCAAACATTCAGACTGTTGCCGTTCTGCAAAAGTGTACACACGCATGCAATATTGTTGTTTTCACGTTTCGCCCGTTTGGCGTGTTCTCATAATCGAATGAACAAAACAAAAATAACGTTGCAAACAAAATACAGATCTAATCAGATAAATACAGAAATTCAATCAATCCAGCCCAAATAATTTCATGTATTTGTTTCTTCTGTTCTCTGATTTTATACGATTCGATGAAATCCACAATATAATGCAATGTTATTTGATGTGATGTGTGACGTATGGCTGTCCATCAACAGTGCCTCATCAACAAAACAGTGTGTCAATAAAAAATACAATTGCAACAGTGAATAGTGATTTGAAAAATAAATATTATGCAAAAAGCAACGAAATTAATAACTGCCAAACACAAAATCAATTAATACTAAATGATTCAACGGCCGCTGGAGTGGTTTCAGGACCTCATCACAGTGTATTACAATCAAACTCAATTCAATACAATACAATAAATGGCAATTCAAATGCAATTCCAAATAATATTAGCAATAACAATTACAACAACAACTACAACATCCACAACACCAGCAGCAGCTACAATAATATAAACATCGGCATAAACAATACGAAAAGACCATTATCGCATTACTCGGACCCGTACACGGCGTATACACCGTTACCGAGCACACCGCCTTCATCTGAGCACAAAGGAATTAAGCACTTTGGTAGCATTAAAAGTGAGTGGAATCGCTTTGCGAATATCGAAAATCTGCTCTCTTCATCTCTCTCTTTATCTTTTTATATTACCACAAGTCTGTCGCTTAATTGAAATAACCATTTCAAATATTCCGGATAATGAATCTATTTTCAATGAGCAATGCAATTGCAAGAGCGCAGCATGTACACACAAGCACACTCTCGGTGTGCTTGTGTGCTTGCTTCAAACAAAGTTGTATACATTGAATCGATTTATCCGGACTATGTGAAACGAAACGATAACAGATTCCGTTCATAAAATTTATCTAATCCGTTCGTCTCTCACTGTTCGCACATTTACAGGAGCATTTACTGATTGTAGCAGCAACAATAGCAACAGGTAATAACTATTGTCTGAATGACCAACTACATACTATCGATCAATTAAGAAATGAAAAGTCAAAAGGGCAAACAATTCGAACTTGCACATTGCTCTTTCTATCTTTCAATTGACAATACACTTTGTTGGATACGGAAAAAACAATTCGGCCTACGATTGACTTGTTCGAACCCTCTCGTCAACGATCGTTTGCATCGTTACATTTTGAATGCCATCACCATCATCAGTAAACACGATTACACGCCTCTCTCCCAGTTTCACTCACATTCTCTCTTCATCACTCTCTATCGCCCATTCTTATTTGATCCACAAGACCTTGTCAAATACTCACATTTTCCGTTAACATTTATTCATTGCAAAGCATACGCAAACCGAATCGAATGACGGTATTTTGTTTTGCTCTTCATTTGCTTTACAATTTTCTACTTGTGAACAACAACTGTGTAAAATTATATCGGTAGAAAAAGTGATGCACATTCCAAGCAAAAACGAATAAAATGTTCGATAGATGTCCGAAAAAAGTACACGGGGCGACTGGAATACGAATGAGAATGCGCGTATGTAAAGACAATAAGAAATTCGAAACAAAGACGAAAAAAACCGTTTTGTTTTTTTTTTATTTCATATCAATATAAATGAGCTCATTTTGCAAACGGAAATCCAATTTTGGAATATTTATTAAATTATCTCGATGTTTTCGTGTATATGTATGTATAAAATATAGTAGGAGCTCGAAAATTGCAACTCCCATAAAGGCGACATTCTACCAATGTCATTCGTACAGCAATAGTCTAAATCGGCACAATAGACAATTATCTCGAAATAAATCCAATGGAAGGTGAGATCTCGACCAATTTCTTCTTTAATTTTATTTTCTCTTCTTTTTCTTCTTCTTCTTGTTATATTCATATATTCTGATACTATTTCTCTGTTTCGTTCATGTCATTTTCAATGTTATGTTCACAATTACACTTGACTCTCACTTACCCATTCAATCATTCACACGCAATTTTTCGTTTCGATGCTCATTTCTTTGGGCTTCGAATGTTTTCCTCATTTTCTTATATTTACACACACAATTGTACAAATCGATTCCATTTCTCTCATTTTATAAATAACGTTTGATATATTTTATTACACTTGTTTTAATGCTCTCCGACTTTTTTCGTGTTCGGTTTGCCTTTTCATTTTGACTTCAATTCGGTTATCACCAATTTACCAATAATAATAATAATAACGAAATGATAGTACAGCAAAGCTTGTTATGGGATAGACCGAAATGAAATGAAATGGGCTCATTTAGCCTGTTAGCTAGCCGCCCGACTCTCGATATTGTTCGAATAGAGCGCGCGAGCGTGAGCCCTTGCTATATTTATGGTATCGGCGACATGATCTTTTCAATAAACTGAGACAATGCCATAAGTAGAAAGAAGCTTTACCGTACTAACAATAAGAATTACTACCTCTCTAATTCAATTTTATTTATTTAGTTCTTTTACTCCTTAATTTGATTTCATTCGTTTGATTGTCCACATTGGTTATTACGCGTATATATACCATTTGAATTTATTTTTATACAATCGTATCCTATTTTTATATATACGTATTACGCTCTTTTTATATATATTTTTCTACATATGTATACATATTTATAGTTCACTATGTATAATGTTGTGTTTTTCGAATTGTATTAAATTGGAACTTTCAAGTTTCCAATTTTTCTTCTCTTCATTACATATTGTTTATTTTTGTTGTCGTCATTAACGTCTTCGTCGTCTACGTCGTCCGTTTTTAATCGTCGTTATGGAGGCTTTTTGTTCTTTTTAATTCATATGGAGGCCGAAGTTGATTTTTGCGTGGGAAATGATTGCAATGTTCAAAACAATGCGTGATAATTTTGAAGCCTTAAACCAACAATCGACGATAAGGAAATTTCAAGGAAATTGACGTAGGTCAAGTGAAACAAAAGTATTTTATATTATAATCTTATTGACATAATTCACTCGCAGAAATAAATATTGGCCAATTATTTTTTATTCAAGTATTATTAACATTACAAACACACATACCCACTCATACGATACTTTATATTTCTTTTGATCTTTTTTGCTCTTTAGTCCATTCTAAGCATTCGGAATGGCAAACGCTAATGCCAACGCTGTCGATGCATTTTTTTTTTCATTTCACATCTTTATAATTTTCTGCCCCATATACAAATGAATGTCCGAGAATGAATGTGAGTCTTCTCGTGAGAGTTTATTGAAATGT